TGAAATAATTTAAAAGTACTCCACGGAGCAATTTGATCTTTGCTCTTTTGAGGTTTCTCTTCTCTCCAAGCAGCCAAAGTTTACGTGGAAAACACAACAATGGTGGGAGGRAAAAGGGATTTATGAGCWGTTCAAAAAGCAGATTTTTATTRTGGCCTTGACTGACAATGAGGAAATTACTCTGGGGTTCACAGGCACAGCTTTGATTGTTTCTCAGAGCATCCGAAAGGGGGAGAGGAAAACATTGCAAGAGAATATGGATTTAGGATTTTTTTTTCCAAGTAATTTAAGGGTTTCTATARAACCCTTCCATCCATTTTGGGACCGTATCTTAACATTTCCTAAGATAAGATTTTCAATTTACCCAAACAACTCGCTTTTTAAAAACCTTATTTTTACATAAAACGTTGCAATCTCTTCACAGAAAACATGGAACACTCTGTATTTTCAAATTCCAACACTTGAGTGTTCAAATAATTTAATRATTTGCAGATACAGCTATGGAAATATGGAATATTCCTCATGTGGAACTTKGGGAAGGGTGGATTTATCACAGATTTTATTGTTCAGTCCATAGCCAGGGAATATTTGAAGATCTCTGGAGGATTATGATTCACACCTTTGTGACCAAGACTTGGTGCAAGACACTCCAAAATTACCTAAACCTCTTCCTTCTTGTTAAAATAAAAAAAAAGTTCCTGAGATGAATAATTAGRAAKAATTTCCTGATGTTTAAAAAGCAARTTTGTGCTGGCAGACAACCAATGGTTACTGAGCTAAAAAGTTTTAAAACTTCAAAATTTAAATTCTGTGTTTTTCTCCTAATGATGCTTTTAATTTAGTTGAGCAATAAACACCTTAATCCCAGAATCCACTCTCCATTTTGGCTTTATTGATGAGATTTGATTTTAAATTCATAAATGAATAAGGTGCTATTGAAAGTGACGGATTGACAGCACTATAAATTCTTGTTCACTCAGTTAAATAAAAAAAAATTGTCTGCAAACAAGGAAACTCTCCCAGAAAAATCACATCCCTGKGCTTTTATTTCATTCTGAAGCCTGGCAGCAGGAACAAGAATTTAATTGAAATTAATCTACTTTTTGAGACTCTGAGTTGCATTTGTGAAGGTGTTCCTGAATATATTCTGTGGTTGCTGTCAAGTTGGCTGTAGTGGCCCAGAGCTGACATTGATAACTCAAAATGAGCACATTTGGAGTGAAATAAGTGGTTTTTAACCTTTTGGGTAGGTGGAATATGGGAACTCTCCTCGTTAATCACATCCCTGTAGTTGTGGCACCCCAGAGAGCTCCTTTGGGGTCAGAAATAATTTCATTCCCTGCCTCGAGAATCCTCACAGCAGCTCTGGGTCTGTGAAACTTCTCATCAAACCCCAGGAGAGAAAAATCCTGCAAGTCCTTGCAGGGTCAGCGTGGATCTGCTCTGGGATGGGAATGAGCAGTCCAGAGGCACTCAGGGCTCATTTCTGCTCTTTTCTCATTAAAAAAATCCTCAGTCTGGGCATAAAACCGCAGCAGGGTCAGAGGGATGTGCAAACACTCAATAAGGACAGGAAAGGATAAAAAATGGGATCAGGATGGGTTCCCACGCTGAGCAGACCCAATACCAGGCTCTGAGGACACAACCTCGAGGATTTTTGGGTCCCCTGCCCTTTTGGGTTGAGCACATTCCATCCCAATCCCAGCCCCAGCTCCGACAGACTCCAGGAAATTTGTTTCATAAATAAATCCAGAACATAAGGACATTMAAATCATTGGTGTTTACATGGGAAGTAATTGAATATCAGTCAAAACACACTGGCAACCCCTTGACAGCTCCAGTCCTGCTGTAATTCATGGGATTAATCAAGGTTTGACACTGTGATRCGTTATTGCAAAGGCTGGAGAGGGAGCAGGAAATTACAAAGTTAAGAAAAAAAAAAAAAAACCCAAAAAAAACCACAACAGGATTTTTTTTTTAACTTCACTGTATGTAAAACTCTCCAGTGAAGGAGAGCAGGGCCATGAAAATACTGCCTCAGCTCAAATGATCTATATTTCAGCCCAAGAAATACACTGAAATTACAGTGAAAGGCACTTCTTGGCTTCATGAAAGCAAAAAGGAGGTGACAGCACCCCTGTGCCACCTCCTCTGATCCTGATGTGCCTCTCATTGTTCCATGGGGGAAAAGACCAAATCCACTTTGTTACTTTTATTTCAGGTATTTCTGAAAGGAAAATTACCAAAGGGTGCATGGTGTCCCCAAGGCTGCAGCTGAAATAACCTCACTGGCCACTAAGGARACTTTGACAGACACAACCAGGCCAATGCTGCCAAAAATCCTAAAAACWCCACCCATTTCTGCTGAGCCACCAGGGCTCCTGTGATGTATTTCAGCCACAGAATATCCACATTTTACAGCCCTGCTCTGAGCAGCACAATGTGGAGGTGATCACTGAAATTCCTGAAAGAAGAAATGGCTTTTTTTTTTTGGAGTAACAATAAAGGCAGCTCTCCTGGGCGAGAGGAAATAAAATGTTTTTGTTTGTCTAAAATAGGAGCAGTGAAAATAAATAATCTGTTCCATGTAGGAAATGTCATTCAAACAAAACCCTGCACTCCCCTTTTGATGGGACATTTCCATTTCTCTGTCACTGTGATCCCTGCCCTGCCCCCATTATTGCCCTACAGACACCACTCAGTTCCCTACAGTTTGTTTTTCCGTCCTCACATGCAATAAAAAAATCCATTTCTGGCTGTAAATCATCACTGTTCCATTTCTGCACAGCTCCAGCCTCCTCAGGGAAAGGCTCCACCACACTTTCACAAAGTCAATTAATGTGTGCTCATGTAGATGGGCCCAATGGAATAATTTGGTTTTTTGGGATGATTTCTCAGTCAAACACATCTGAGAGGCTTTTTTAAAAGAGCATCCACACAGTCAGGCACACAAGAAACAACCCCAAAATGATGGGGAGATAAAGGAACAACGCTGCCCTCGGTAATGAAGGAAATTCAGCAATGAATCCATCAGGATTCAGGAATCCATCAGTTCTGTTTTTTTAACCTCCTTCCCAAAGTTGGAGCAGGCTGGTTTGCTTTAAGCAGTGATTCTCCAGCACCTCTAGATGAGAAAATTCCAAGAGAAGGGTTCTTCCTGCCTCTTCCACTGCTCCAATCCTGCAGATACCATCACTACAACCCCTGAAATGTGGCTCCCCTCTCAGTGGTTGCCTAAAGTGTCCCTAAAATGCTTTAATTCCTGTCTGTGTCAGAAAGGAGGGCATTTCTGTGCACATCAACATCTCCTGATCACACWGCTAATCGTCGCCTCCTCGCTTCAGAGGCAGGGGAAATAAATATTTTCCCTGGGAGTGARTAAATTCAAATTTGACAGCTGAAGTGATAGAAGTTAATGGGGAGAGCGGCGTGAGGGTGATAAAGGATGATTGAGGGGCACAGAGGCAGCGGGGCAGGGTTAATCCCACAGGGCAGGGATGAGCATTGCTCCTTTATCCTCCCCTCCACTGCCAGTTTTTAATAATGACACAGACACAGTTTAGGGGATAAAAAGGGTTTTACCTCGGGATTTGGGATCCCAAGTGCACAACTTGATGGCAGAATGCACCCCCATGTACAGCACGGATACAAGTTTTATAGATTTTAAGAATTAGTGTATCTATCTAGGATTCCCCAATAAGAAACTTTAAAAATGCAGTGATGTCCCCCTATTCTAATGAATCCTGAGGCCAGAGCCCACTTTACACAAGATGTTCTGGACAGAAGGCTTCACCCAAGGCTGGAGCTCAGGTTTAAGATAGCACAGGGTACACTGACTCCTTTTTTAGGATATTTGGTCTCTCTGCCCAGCAAAACTCCTAAACTAAGCTGGAATATCAGGCTCCAGGAATTTACAAACATGTTGGTTAAGGGGTATGAGGGATACATAAAGGGTACAGAAAATGTATAAAAGGATATAAAAGTGTACATGAAAGGAAAGGCAAAAATCATCAGTGCTGTGCATTGGGGTGGGATCTTCATTTTTACAGCTGCAAGGAGCCACAAAGATCMATCCAGCAGGACAGAGTTTGGGGTTTTTATCCAAAAACAGCGAGCAGAGGGAAGACACTGGGGCAGGACAGGACAGGGCTGGGACTGTGCCCCATGGAGCCCGACACTACCAGCTGCTCCTCTTTCTTTCTCCTTCCCACATTTTCTCTGTTCACAGCAGGAAAGGCAGGAATTCAAAGAATAGGGGTTTTTTGGGGTGTCTTAGAGCAGGTGAACCCCTCCCTCCTCTAACTTGAAGGGTTCCCAAAGTGTTTAAAAGCTGGGAAAACACTCCCATACAAACCCCCAGGCAGCTTCACCAGCCAGGATCATCTCAGAAGCGCTTGGTTTAACGAGCCTGCATTTAAACCCGGGCTTAGAGCGGCTTTTTTTTGTGTTCTCTGTGATTGGGGTKTTCATCCACAGTGGTGCTGTTCCAGTCACTGCACGAGTGAGAGGTGAATTCAAGATTTCTGCACTGTCACACCCACGATAAAATCACAGCTCAGTAGGGAACGCTTTGGCAGGAGCAAACCTGGAACTGCAGCCCTCTTGGCCATAAATGCCTTCCAATCCTTATTTCTGTAGGCAGCTCAGCTCTGGAATGAAGAGAACATAATCCTTATTTACAGTAAATTAAAATTGAGTTTGCACTGCGGGGTTCCTTCCACAACGCTGGCATATTGATTTTATTTCMTTCAGAAAAACATTTAACTTTAGAAACACACCCTGAGAGCCTCCCTCCCCTCTGGTTCTGTTACTACAACACTCCTGGGGATGGAAATCTAACATTTTTGGATTTCCTGTTCAAGGCAGGACATTGCAATCCAGCAATCCTAATTATTAATTGATTGACAAAAAAACACTGCACCACTAATGAAGTGGGATTCTTTTTATTTTCAATGTTCATAGAGGCGGAAATAAATACAGGAGAGAGAAGATTCCTCCAAAAGAAATCAATCAAGTCTTCAAACAGGAAAAAATATATCCATGAGCTGCTTCAAACTGGCCACCATTCCCGAGGTCAGGAACAGGGTAACGATAATGGGAAAAACTGAAGAAAAGCATTTTCACAGGGGTGCACAGAAAATGTAAACTGCACTACAGAGGAGTCTTTACAACACACCTATCATACAAAATCATTGGGAAGTGTTTAGGGAGTGGTTCCTGCTCTGTCCAGATGGAAAATATAAAAGAAACACCCCGAGGGTTTGGTGGTTTGGTTCCTCTCCCTGGTATTTGTAGAAGAGTTTCTGCTTTTGGCAAAGTTTAAAAAAATCCTTCGTATTGTAAGAAGTTTTTGTCCAAGCTGAACTTCTCTGCATTTCTATCCTCACTCATCGTCACCACTGTCATCCACTGGGGCTGCTGSTCAGAGCACAAAGAGTTTGTAAAGCTCTTTCCAGGTTTTTATCGATGCTCTGATCTGTAGGTTGGAAAAGTGTCCGTGCGATGGAGCTTCACCGGGCTGGAAACATCTTCAGTGAGCCAGGAGGAAAAAGCAGAACAGCCTCAGTTAAACACAGGCACCTCGGTCAGTGATTCACACACAGCATCATGTCAGATGCAGATTAATTAATTAAATCTATCCCTGCTTAATCTGCTCCTCCAGCTCAGAAATACCCACACAAATTTTCTTTACCACTTCATTCAGAACAGCAATTTGTACAAAGCAAATTAACTTTTTTCAAGTTTTTACTTTCATTTAAAATGTAAAAACGCTCTCTAAATCCWTTTTTTCCCCCAGTTTAACAAGCAAAATATTTTTCTGGCTGTCAGACAGATGGTTTGTAGCCACACAGTGTGATTTATCCGGGCCAGCTCCACTCTGAGTTTCTGCTTTGCTGAAGGGATCAGTGGGAAGGCACAGGGCTGGCACCCAAATTTATTGTAAAAATGTCCAGGCATGGAAACGCCTCCTTCATCCTCCATCCCTCYTCTCASRGAGCTTTTTCCGTGTGCTGCCTGCCCCCTCTAGTGTTGTACAGACAGAACCAGCAGAAATATCTCCTGCAAGGCTCGATTTTCCCGGTTGGTGTTTTTTCCATTCTGCACACACACCCAGCTCCGCGGGGCTGCCGTTATCCCAGCGCCTCTGAGCATCTCCCGCTCGGGGTGGGGACATGGGAACATCGAGGAGTTTGAACCCTTTGAGACACCCCGAGGGCACAGCCGCTCCTCCCAGAGCCATCCTGGAGCCACCAGATGTCYCCTGGAGACCTCGAGGGACCGATGGATGCGGGAATGTCCTCGGGAGCATCCCTGGAGCTGCTGGGGCAGGAGGGATCGGGCTGTGCTGTCCCACCCCGGGCCGGGCTGAGAGCAGTGACAGCACTGCAAACAGTTTGCCACCAATATTTATTTCCTTTTTCCCCCTAATCCAGCTGTTTTGGGGGATGWGGTTGTTTGGGGTGAATTTTAACAAGGACACAAAATGAGCAATGGGAGGGCAGCCCGAAGTTCTAAAGCCTGGCAAAATGAGCCATTCAGAGTTTGGTGGCAGAGCTCKCCTGAGCCTCCTCCTCTCCAGTTTTACCCCCAGGATAAAACCTCTTTTGAGGTTTTTCTTCTCTCCAAGCAGACAGAACTAACAGGGAAAACACAACTATGGTGGGAGAAAAAGGGGATTTATGAGCTGTTCAACAAAGCAGATTTTTATTGTGGCCTTGACTGAGAATAAGGAAATTACTCTGGGGTTTTGACTGACAATGAGGAAATTACTCCCTGCTCCTGGGATTTGTGTCCCAGCCCCTTCCCCTTGGCTGCCCTTTCTCCAGCACCCCAACATCCAAATTGGGCACACAGCACCCAAAGTGTGAGAAAGGATCCCCTCCCTGCTCCTGCTGACACCCCTGTGCCGAGCTGCCCATCCCGAACAGGACGAGCCCTGTCCCACCAAACAGGCTGGGTGTCACCCTGCGGGGAGGTGGCAGGGTGTGACAGGGTGTGGCAGGGTGTGGCAGGGTGTGGCAGGGTGTGACAGGACGGGGCAGGGCGTGGCAGGGTGTGGCCCTTACCTGGCAGGGTGTGACAGGGCGTGGCAGGGTGTGACAGGGCACAGCCCTTACCTGGCAGGGTGTGATAGGGTGTGACAGGGTGTGGCAGGGTGTGGCAGGGCGTGGCCCTTACCTGGCAGGGTGTGCCAGGGTGTGACAGGGTGTGGCAGGGTGTGGCAGGGTGTGACAGGGCGTGGCAGGGTGTGACAGGGCGTGGCAGGGTGTGACAGGGCACAGCCCTTACCTGGCAGGGTGTGAYAGGGTGTGACAGGGTGTGGCAGGGTGTGACAGGGTGTGACAGGGTGTGGCAGGGTGTGGCAGGGCGTGGCCCTTACCTGGCAGGGTGTGACAGGGTGTGGCAGGGTGTGACAGGGTGTGACAGGGTGTGACAGGGTGTGACAGGGTGTGACAGGGTGTGACAGGGTGTGACAGGTCAGGGCAGGGTGTGGCAGGGTATGACAGGGCGTGGCCCTTACCTGGCAGGCCGAGCAGCTGCCCCGTGCTGTGCTGCCGGGTGATGTGGTGCCAGTAGGCGCTGCGGGGCAGGGGCACCACGGTGCCCAGAGACGCCGCCCGCTCGCTCATCTTCAGCTGCAGCTGCAAGGCAGGACACGGGGTCAGGGATCCGGGGAATGGGGACAGGAACAGCACAGACACTGCCCAAACTGACACTGTCACCTCGTGTCACCATCTCACACCAATATTAACGTTCTCTTGGTGCAGGAGCGCCACTGCCACCCTGAACTGTGGCTCCAGCCTGGGCAGGGGCACATCAGGGGGATCAGGGGAGGCTGAGGTGAAATGGCAARTAGATTGAGGACAAAATCTTCCAAACCAACTCACAGTGATGATTAATCAGAGGAAATTAATGAGACTGTGCACTGACAGCGGAACTCTGTATTTATTCACTTTTAGTGATGCCTTTGCACCCAAAAACATCAAGGACGCTGAGTTCCTGTTGGTTTTTTTTATCTTTGAACAGGAATTCCAGTTATACACATTGCCCTAAATGTTATAATCAAGCAGAATAATATAATAATAATAGCAATATTAATAGGAAGAATAAGATTAAGAATAAAGAAGAAGAAGAAGAAGATTAAGAATAAGAATAAGAATAAGAATAAGAATAAGAATAAGAATAAGAATAAGAATAAGAATAAGAATAAGAATAAGAATAAATTATAACAAGAAGAATAATGATAAGCATCCCACCAAAGAGGCCCAATTTTGGTTGCTGCCCAATGTGGAATCCCAACCCCAATCCTGACCCCAATCCCGACCCCAATCCCAGCCCCAATCCCCACTCCACCCCTCCATACCATGGAGTTCTTCACGCTCTGCAGCAGACGCTCGTGCTGCTCCGCTATGGCCAGGGCAGCAGAGTGAACCTTCTGATAGATTGCTTCCCCATCTCTGGTCTGGAAGATGAACAGCCCTTCCCCAGTGTCACACATCCTGCCAAGGCAAGCACAGGGGACCCAAGTGGGAGATGGAAGTTTCCAGGTCACTGTGAACCAGAAAAACCTTCCCGTGCCTCCCACAAGCAGTGAGAAAACAAAGGTAGATGACAGAAAACAAAATGATTTACTCCTGTTTGCCCATAGCTCTCTGCAGCCCTGGTGTCATTGACTGTTTCAGGTCCTGTTTGTGTCACTCTCTCCMAACAGGGGCTCAGCTGAACCATCAAAAAGTGCAAAAGCTCTGGAGAGTTCCCACCCAGACCCAGATTTTGTGTATTTAGGCTCTGTCTGGAATCTGTGCCAGGCAGGATTAATTTGTCTTCCCCCCTCAGACTTCTAACGCTGCTGATAATGAATTTGGCAGACTTTTGCCTGTCATTTGAAACAATAAATACAAATCCTCAGYGTCCCTGTTGCACTGCCATGGCATTGTTTCAGTGCTTTTCAATTGGGTTTTTTTTTGTAGGAGTGGGTCCAGACCAGCCTATGGCTGAAGCTCAGCTCCCTCCCCCTTGGAAACCCTCTGGAATTATTCCAGAATTCCTCAGGAAGGCAAAGAGAGAGGAAAAGCCCCATTTACCTGCCCGCCTCGAAGGTGAACCAGGCTGGGTCCCGCCCGTAGCGCCGCAGGGCACTTAGAGGCCAAGAGACGAGTTTGACTCTGGGATTCTGGATGTCCCAAAGACAGATATTCTCAAATGTTATCTGCAAGGTACATTCCCCATGCACATCTAAATTAGGGGATGGCATCAAATACACATTGAATCTCTCTGGGAGAAAAACAAAAGGTTAGTCTAAAATCCCTGCCCAGCAAGTCATTCAAGGAATTTCCTATTTTCCTTCTCTAACACATGATCTCATTTCCACTTAGAACTATTCATTCACACACAAAGAACTCCTTCCAATAGCTCAATAAACTCTACGTTTGGGGAATCAAATGTTTRTGTGGGCACTCAGAGCCTGGGGAGAACTGCTCCAGCACAGCCCTGGAATCTGCAAACAGCTCATCAAATGGTGTGCAGGAATAAATCCATGACTGTGCAGGTAATGAGCTCATTTGCATAGCAAAGTGGAGCAGCCACGGGCTCAGGTTTTGCATGYAATTACTGTTATTTATTATTATTTATTATTATTATTATTCTCTTTACAAAGCCTCAGTTCACTGACACCATATTAAAAAGCCACAGCAACAGACTCTTCCTATCTCCAGGAGCAGCTAACTCATCTGAGAAAGAAAAGTGCTGCTCCAAATCATTCTAGGCAATTTATTTATTACCTCTGAGAGCAACTAAACCAAAAGCCAAAATTAAACCCCCAAACAACCAAAACCAAACCCCACAAAACAGGAAGAAGGGTTTGGGAAAAAAACACAATTTTGCTCCTATTTATTTCCAATACGCACATGTACAGTCTAGGCTTGAGAAGGCAATAAAAGGCTTGATAAAAGGCTTGATAATGACACAATTAAAAATGGGARAGGTCAATATTGCTGCACCTACCGCTCTGCTCCCTCTCTACTCCCGATGCCAACAGGTCGGGCTCCCCAAGGCTGATGTCCTGAACCCGTGTTCCCAGGCACTCCATCTGCAGCACTTTGCACCACTCATCTGCCTCCAGCTCTGCAGAGACGCCCAGAAAATCTGTGTGTAGCTACATCACATTTATAACTCCACAATCCCTGCCCTCGTGGTTTTGAAGGAGTTTCTGCTTGACCCACCTGACTCACAAGCGAAGGTTTTGGAGGTGTCATCAGTGAAATAAATCCCCAGCGCGTGTTTCTTGGTGCTTTTTGGCAGCCGGGTGATATTCTTGACATTATTGAGCTCTGTGACCTGGAAAAGYAGGATTGGGAATTTTAATGAAAGGTGGAATCAAAGTTCCTTCCAGTCTGAGCCATTTTTAGGTGAAGGGC